GAATCGGGTCCAGGCCCCACCAGCTGTGCGGGCGGGTGGGGCTGGGAAATGCCAAGTCAGCCGCATTCTCAGCCTCTTCCTTGCAAGACCATCAACAAGTAACCACACTGGGCAGGAAGGAGGAAGCCGCAAGACAAAGGGCTTCTCCTTGCAGGACCACGTGAGGGGCTGGGAGGCTCATGCAGCTCAGCCTACCTTCTCTCGACGTTGGCTTTTTCTAGGAAGGCTGATCTATGGGGTGGCGGGAGGAGGGCTCTGATTCTTGCAGGAGGAAGGACCAAGAGCATAATTCAATGATCCATCAACCCTTCACTGAGAAAAGCTATCATCTAATGATACCTGTGGGCTTCCCCTGTAGCTCACGGGTAAAGAAGCCACCTGCAATGCAGGTGTGGGTTCGATCCCTGGGTTGGGAAGGTCCCCTGGAGGAGGGCATGGCAATCCACTCCAGTATTCCTGCCTAGAGGACCCCATGGACAGAGGAGCCTGGAAGGCTACACAGGCCATGGGGTCACCAAGAGTCAGACACACATGCAATGATACCTGCAGGCTGCCCCCTCTCAGGCTCTAGCCACAGATGTTTCCATGGGTACCCCTTTCACTTGGCCTATTTTTTTTTTCACTTGGCCTATTTTAAAATTTGGGCAGCACTGCTTTCCCCCTAAATCAAGCCAGATGCCAGAAAAGGAAGTAGACATCTCTCTTTTCCACTCCCTACATCCAACAAGTCTTCAAATCCTATTGATTTCATTACTTGAACTTCAGTAGATGATCCTACCCCCCACATCTTTAATCCACGCTCTCATCACCTTTCACTCAGATGATGCTGTAACCTTCCTGCCCCATCCAGCATCCCTCCCATCCAGCTCCCATAGGAATGCCCATCTAACCCCATGACTCCCGGCAGCCTCTCTGGCATGAATCACAAGGTCCAGCAGGGTCTGGGCTCTGCCCAACTTTACATCCTCATCTCCTACAACCCTCCCCCCAAGCTTATAACTCCGCTCATGATTCCTTCCACAGACCCCGTGTGTGTGTGTGCATGTGTGTGTATATTAGTTGCTCACTTGTGTCCAAGTCTTTGTGACCCCATGGACTGTAGCCCACCAGGTTCCTCTGTCCATGGGATTTTCCAGGTAAGAATACTGGAGTGGGTTGCCATTCCCTTCTGCAGGGGATCTTCCCAACCCAGGGATCAAATCTGGGTCTCCTGCATTGAAGGCAGATTCTTTACCATCTGAGCTACCAGGGAAGCCTGCAGATCCTACCTTGTTCATACCTCACTATCCCAAGGGTTCCTCTGCTGGGAATCCTTACTCCTGGTCCATCTAGGTCAGGACGTTGTCTCATTCGTAAGTGAAGATGTGGCTTAAACATGACCTCCTATGGAAAGCCTTCTCTCACGTGCCTTCCTCCCCTGAGTCCCTGCCTGCATGACTTCATCTGCCTCTGTTATCACATTGGCTTTACAGGGCACTCACCTGACTACATAGCTCTTCTCCCAGGAGCTCCTCCAGCCCAGAAACCAAGCCCGCATCCCTGTATGTCCCCAAAACCCAGCACAGAGCTTACCCTGGGTGTGAGATATAAGAGTTTGTGCAAAGCTAAAATCTCCAAGCCTGACAGGTGGTAGTTTGGGATGAAGACACCCTCTCTTCTACTCAACCCAAGCATCCCCCCGTCCCTTCTTCCCAACATCACTAAATAGTCTGTTTCCCACTGGCCCCAGCTGATGTCCAGCTTTAACTGCCAGACCGAGAGGATGCAGGGGGGATCAGCTGTGGCTTCCTTGACCTCGTGCTTGCAGTCCCAACTCTGCCTGAATTCAGAGCCAAGGCCCAAACCCAGGCAGCCTGGATTCCCTAATTCTCCTCACGGGTCCTGCTCCTCTGACTTTGCTCTTCTGTCCTAGAAAAGCACCTGACCAGGGGCTGTCCACTCAGCGCCCAAGTCCCGTGGGCCCAGCCAGGACACCGTAAAGCTCTGGTGGCAGTGAACTTCAGGGCCAGGTTTGGCCTCATAATGAGTCTTGAAGTAATTGCTGGACCCTCAGACCCTCAAGGAAAACAGGCCTCACTGAGACATCCCTCTGTCTGCCTGACACGGATCCATCCATCTACCCACCCATCCTCCTGGCTATTTATTCATTTAACAGACGTTTACTGAGCACCTACTGTATGCCAGGCACTTTTCTGAGCTCCAGGAATACAGCAGGGAAGAAGGTGAAAAATGTTCTTTTCTCATCGAATTTCAATTTTCATTGGGTGGGGTGAGACAGATATAAATAAGTCAGCAAAACATCAGATAGTGATAAGCACTAGGCTGAAAATTAGAAAGAGGTGTCATGATAGGTGACAGGACTGTTCCTTTCGTTCAGATGGTCACTGAGAAGGTGATATTTAAATGGAACAGCGGGGCAAGTCACGGGAAGATAAGGGACTCACACGCCAGGCTGAGGTAGCAGCTGGCATGGAGGCCCTGGGGTGGTGAGAGTTTGGCCTGTTTGAGCACCTGAGAAGGACCAGCGGCAGCTGGCATGTCATGATGGGAGGCAGTGGCATACAAAAGGAGGGTGAGCGCCATCAAGACCATCCTTCAGAGCCAATTCACGGTCAGAGTTAAGGCTTGATTTTCCTAAACACTGGGTCGACATCAAAGTTCACTCAGGTTTTTCCGTAACAAATTATGGAAAAACCCGAATGAATTTTTTGGCCAACCCAATATAATAGGGAGATCTGAGAGGGATTTAAATGCAGTAAAACCAGTAACCCTGACCAACTACCCCCCTGTATAACCACTCCTCTCTCCTTCTCCCCACCAGGCCCACCCCGACTCCCTTGATCTCTAAACTACTTCTCGATTCATCTTGTCTGTCTTTTGATTACAAGTATAGCCTCCAGGTAACACAATTACCAAATGCAGTTCAAACCTTTCATTCTCATCAAAACCAAACACGGTCAAGTTCATATGAGCTTAAAATGAAAAACATGTTTAGGAAAGAATATTTAAAAAAAAAAAATTCTTCCAACTCTCATTATACCTAAAAGATTTTTTTGGAAAGAAGAAGAAAATCACTTCCCTAAGGATACACTAGGATTAAAAGCATTTATAAACTTCTTAGTTTTTATTTTCTGTAAAAATTTCCTCACCCTGCAATTTGAGGGCAGGGCGTCCATCTGAATTTGCCCTGGCAGCAGGCCTACCTGTGCTTTTGACCCCCCTGGCCCAGGACCCAGCTGAGTTCTGCTTTCCCTGTCACTGAAGCCTGCTTGGATCTGAGGCCAGGCAAGGCGCAAGGGCTGGCCTCCTGCAGAAGCAAACAGGATGGAGGGTGAAGTGCTGTTTCCTTAGGACCCACGTACAAGCAACAGGCAGGCTCCCTGAGGGATGGGTCAGAACCAGTAGCCCAGAAGAGTTGTGAGCAGAGAGGATCCAGATCTGGGATTTTTAGGGCCATGCCCCCTTCTTGTTCCGTTAGTCCCTCTCTTCTAAAAAAACATAAATATCTCATACTCATTTTTGCATGAAACAACAGGTATGTTTTCACATTTCAATTATGAAAAGCAAAAAGGTATACAATCCTGAATATGCCTGTTCATAATTTCCCATCCCTCTTCCTAGAGATTAGGACACAGCTTTCTGTCGTAGACCTCCAGTGGCTGAGCACTACCTCTGGGCAGCTCCCATCTGCTGACCTGTCAGACCCTGATTCCATCTTCTCAGACTCAGTGCCGTGTTCCTCCTGCTGTGGGGGAGGCCTGGCCCCAATCATAGGGTGAGCAAAACAAACCAACCTCAGACCTCACAGGACCACAGGGCTGCTGAGGGCAAGCAACCCCAAACAGGGGGTTTCCTAGAGTGGCAATCCACAAGGCAGTCTCTGCATTCACCATGATAGGACATAAATGGTTTTTACCGAAGGCCATTCACTGTATGATCCCATCTATGTAAAATGTCCAGAGTAGGCAAATCCATAGAGACAGAAGGTTGATTAGCAGCAGTAGTAGTTTGGGGGAGGGCCACTGGGGAGTGACTGTTAATGGGCACAGAGTTTCTTTGGGGGTTGATGAAAATGTTGTGGAATTTTGGCTGGTAACTGCACCACTTTGTGAATATAATGAAAACAGTTGCACGCTTAAAAAAAAAAGTGGGGGACTGCTGCCCTCGTCTGCTTTGGGACACAGAAGTGCTGGCAGCTGTATTGGGAGTCCTGGTTCCCACCCTAGATACACGCCCTGCAGTTGCGCTGATCGCCGCTGAGGCAGTCACCCTTCCACCGGCCTGGGGGCCTGGGTCGGTCTCATGGTGGCACTCCTTGCCCTCTGATCTAGCACTTACCGCAGAGTTTGTATCTGTCCACAGCCTAGTATTCCCACTAGGTGCATTCTTTGAAGATAAGGACATGCCTCACATTCCTGGATTCCCAATCCCTAGCCCAGGGCTTGTTGTGCCATGCATGTTCAATAGGTCTGAGCATTCTTGCTCCAACCGACCCAATGGGCCCAAATCAGTGAGCGCTGGTGATGCTGGTCTTTATGGAGCAGGTGGATTTTGGCCCCGTGTCAGGACTGCCTTGGTCAGCATATCAGCTCCTGATTTAGGTAGGGTCTCGCTATGGTAGTGTCCAATCCCAACACTCAGAGTCCCTTGGGATTCTCAGGCATGTGGCTCCTGCCTCCTCAGAAAGAAAACCAGCAAGTGCTCCAGACTTCCTCCTTGCTGTCCCCATCACATGCCCACCCCACTTTCTGCCATTCTGGACTCACTCTAATGCATCCACTGCTGAGATTAAAGTGCTGGAAGTCTCCAGACACTCCTGGTGCATGAGATGCTAAGTCGCTTCAGTCATGTTCAACTCTTTGGAACCCCATGGACTGTAGCCTGCCAGGCTCCTCTGTCCAAGCAATTTTCCAGGCAAGACTACTGGAGTGGGTTGCCATTCTCTTCTCCAGAGAATCTTCCTGATGAGGGGATCAAACCCATGTCTCTTATGTCTCCTGCATTGGCAGGTGGGTTCCTTACCACTAGCACCACCTGGGAAGTCCCAGACACTCCTGGACTTACCTGTAATCAGGTAACTACAAGCTAGAGAAAAGCAACTCCCACTGACTGGAAAGGGGAGAGGGGTGGTGAGATTTTTGGCAGAAGGTTGGACTAAGTCACAGCTACATGGTTTCAGGAAAAGGATCAACTTCCAGCCCTTGCGCTACCCAAGGCCTCCCCACTGTCTCAGCATCCTGCAGCATCTAAAAGATCAGGGGCTCCGAGGTCCCACTGGGCCTGAGTCCTGCTCACGCTCTCACCTCCCACCTCCAGTGGGCGCTGCTGAGTTAATGGCCTGCACCATGTCAGTGGTGAGGGCATCCAGTAGGCTGGTGATAAATTCCAGTTTCTTCCCTTCTGGACAGCCTGAAAGACAAAGTGAGATCTGAAGGCACGTGCCAGGTAAATGATCAAGTAAAACAGCTTCCTCCACTACCACTGTTTCTTCAACTTCTCCAAGTCCTTCTTGTCCAGGCAAATCCACTTTGGGAATTGTCCACAGCTCAGATGATTCGGTCTCTCATGTTGCAGGCGGATTCTTTCCCAGTTGAGCCAGGGAAGCCCCAGATGATTATCATAAACCTCCAGAGCTCCTCTCCCCACAGCCCACAAGGGACTATCAGACCACATGGACAATAAAGCTTTCGGCGTTCTTCCAATCCACAAATTTTTGCTGAGTATTAACTCAGGCACTATGGTATATGTTAGGAATATACTAGACAGGGCTCTTCTCCTCATAAAGTCCATAGTCTACTGGGAAACTCAGGTGGTACAGTGAGACCAGGCTCCTCCAGAGGCAAGGACCAGCTGCCAAAAGGGCACTAGGAATGCAGAGAAATCCAAGGTCAAATTTGACTCAATGGACCTACCAGTGTATCTATCCAAGAACCTCTTCCTTTTTTTTACATCTCTCCTCAGCCAGCTTAGATTATAATGATCAACCCTCCCTTAGAAGTACTCTTAAATCCTTTGTTTATTCCTCACGGTGGGACTCCCGCAAAACCCCAAGCATCGATGAACCTTCGCTCCAAATCCACACCCCCAGAGCTGAATGTTGCTGGTATAAACACCACCACACCACTGGAGAGATGGTTTTCCTGTAAATTCATGACTACCAGCCCCAAACAGGCCCTCAACACTACCTACAATTCTCCTCTCTGCAACAGCTACTTCATTCTCTTCTCTCTGCAGTTCCCCCGGGTGTCTGGTTAAATGCTACTTTCTCAGTGAAGCCACAGATTTCTTCCTGCCCTTCTCCCAGCAGCTCACTCTTTCCCTTTAGAGCACCTGTCACCATCTTCATGTGTGTGTGTTCATTTACTTGTACACTCTGTCTCCCATACTACACAAGCCTCACTTCCATTTTGATTACTAGACATACTCAGCGCCTGGCAAACAGCAAAATCTCGATTCACATTTGTTGAAGGAATGGCTAGACAGAGAAACCCTGGTCTCTATGACTCCGTTCTCATGACAGAGTGATTTCTACAAACCTCACTTGGGAACCCCCGGACTTTCAAGAGCCTCTGTTTTCGGTTCTCCTTTGGAGTCCTGATGGGAACAGTGGGAGCTCCCACCAGCACTGACCTGATTAAAACGACCGTGTTTCGAGCCATCAATATTTACTAATCGTATTGTAACTCACTGGCAGAGAACATGGTAAATAAGAGAGACCCAGCCCAGCAGCCCTTTAGAGGCCCTGGCCCCTGCCTACGCCTCTTGTGCCATACTCCAAGGACAGTTCGGGGCCACCAGGGGTCATTGCAAAGGCACTCTACAGGTCTGGCAACGGACACTACCACGCCCCGCAGGGCAGCCTGTCCCTGAGAGCTAGTTTCTCTTCGCAGCCCTGGGGAAAAGGGTCCACAGCCCCCAGATCACTGTCCCAATCACCCTGCTGCTGCGAGTCCCAATCACCCTGCTGCTGCTGCTGCTAAGTCGCATCAGTCGTGTCCGACTCTGTGCGACCCCACAGACAGCCGCCCACCAGGCTCCTCTGTCCCTGGGATTCTCCAGGCAAGAATACTGGAGTGGGTTGCCATGACTTCCTCCAGGGGATCTTCTCAACCCAGAGGACTGAACCTACATTTTTTAATGTTCTTTACTATGAGCGCCACCTGGGAAGCCCTTTAAGCCAAGGACTACATTTTAAAGACTTTTTATCTTTAAAAGAATAGCAAGGAGGAGAATCCATGTGTTCAAGAGTTCAGGACTAATTAGGGACAAATACCAGACTGGATGCCAACCCTGTGGCTCCTGCAATGCCCCTGCCTGCTGTCCGTCCCTGCCCCAGCTTACAGATGAGGAAACAGACCCAGAGGCAGGCACCGCTTCTGCACAATGAGGGGGTGGTGGGACAGGAAACGGTGAAGATGTCAGCAAGAGGCAGTGTCATCTCCTACCTGGCAGCTCCCTGTCCTTGAAGGGGTCCTCCACCTCTGCACTCTTAGCCCTGGCATCACTCTCACAACTGGGCATCACGTAGCTGAGAAGAGAGAGAGGCAAGGGGGTAAGGAGGGGCTGGAACCTGAGTCAACTTCAGCCCCTACTACCAGCAATGATCTGTGTGATCTCTAAGCCTAGATCACCCAGAGCTGGTGGCAAAATATCTCCCACACTGTCCACTAGCTACAGGGCAATCCCAGCATCAGCATCCCCACAGAGACACGTTCGGGCATGTTGCCACATCGTCTCAGCTACTCAAGTAGAGTAGTATCCCCTTATGTCAGCACACAGGATCTTTTTGACCCATAGAACCTAGTGACTCAGGCAAGGCAATAACCTGCCTGAATGAACTGAGGTTCAGAGAGATTACCTCCTCTCCCCAAGGCCACCCAGCTAGAAAAGGCCAGTCCTGTGACCAGAACCCAAGATCCAGGTCTTTCTACCAGAACCTCATCTGCCCACGAGCAGAGATGCTGCTCCCCGAGGGTCTCAATTCCCACCCGGCCAGGACAATAAATCTGGGAGATGTGCAGCGCCAGCCTAACAGGAAGCTGGTTCTCCTGCCCCAGGGCCCATCTGAGGGGCAGGACAGGCTCCGGAGGCTTACCGTGTGGAGGTCCCCGGCAGCGGACGCCCGGTGTCCACCAGCACACACCAGCAGTAGCCAGTGGACTGGTGGCACTGCACTGGTTTATAGAGACCCCCAGGGGCGCACTCAGGGATCACAATGCCCTCGCGGGGGTTCTGCCGGGCCTCTTCCAGGGCACTCTGTCTCTCCTGGTCACACGAGTGAACTTTCTCTGCAAGAAAAGACACAGCCCGTGGTGACTTCCCACTCCTATGCTTTCCCTGCCAGGACCCGGCCTGGCCCCCAGGAACTGATAATGGCTGAGTGGTGAATCACCAAGGGGAGCCGGGTCCCCCACGCCAGCCCTGAGTGAGGAGCTGGAGGCGCAGAGCACCTCACTCTGACCCTCGCACGGCCAGGCTGCAGTAGCATTCATGTCAGTGGGCTCCAGCGGCCGCAAGGCAGCCAGGGACGCAGGGCGACTCCTCATCAGAGCTGCGGTTGGCCTAGGAGTGGAATCTCCTGACTATTTTCAGAACAGTTCCTGCTCGTGTCTCCTAGCTCCAGCCCTGCGAGCTGACAGATGAGGCAGGAATACCCGTGTATGTGGACATTCTCCCAAACCCAGACCCAGTAGGACAGGGCCACAGCCACCATCCTCAGGGTGGGAAGATGTCTGATGCCCGGCCTCCTAGAGGAGCAGAAACAAGACCCAAACCCGCTCCTTCCAGGGCTCCACCCGAGCCGGACAAAGCAGGCTGCATGGAGTTGAGTTGATTACACAACCCTGCTTCCATTACACAACACACCTTCCCACAGGAAGGTGTCTGCACTCAGCGGCCTCAGAAACCATGCCAGCGTGTCTGAACAGCCAAACCTAGTTTTCCCAGAGTCAAGCCCAGCTTGAGGCTCTACATGGTGCCCTGAGCACCCGGGGCTTTAGAACCCCACGGCCCCTGACCAGTCAACCCGCCTGACTTCCCTTTCTTGTTTTTTGTTGATACTAGGTTTTATTGGTTTGCTTTTTAGTTATTAAAAACAAATAGCATTGGGTTTCTTTTCTCATTATAAAGAAATATTTGGAGAATCTCTTATCCCACCAAAGTTAAGTTCTGCCTACCCTGGATCTTTTCTTTTGCATGTACACACATGCAAATACATATGCACACATTTATGAGGTTTTTTTTTTAAAACAATAAAAGGGACCATATCATAAACTCGTACCACTGTTTTTGATCTACTTATTTCTCTTTTTATTCATTTACTTTATCATCACTTTATTTGTCTCATGAACAGTATTCCACAACTTTCCTCTTGAAGAATATGACAGGAATCACCTTGAATATCCCGTGACTTTTTCACAGTGTGTTACAAAAATCTACTCAGAGAGCCAGGAATTTGGCATCAGCAATGTGGAGATTCATCCTGCTCACTGAACAAATGGATGAAAATAGCAGAAGCTCAACTCTGATGGAGTCAAACCCTTTGAAATAATGGCTGTGTTAATGATACACACACGAACCGTACAGATGTCAAAGCACACTGTAGGTGTGCAGAGATGCAATGCTGTCTTAGCGGAAAGTCAGATGATGGGGAAATGATTTCTAGTCTCCTAAAAAAAAAAGGCTGAAAAATTCTCATTGCAGGGTGAGGGAGTATTTCCGTAAGGGCATAAAAATATCAGAAGGTGTATATGTAGCATATTTGCTATTAAAATATAATTCTGATATGGAAAATGGGAGAAGAAAGGAATTACTGTTTTCATAATGCAAACATAGCAAAATTGAACACAATCTCCTTGGCTAGATGAACAGGAGTTTAGAACAGTTGACAGACAATAGACTTACGATTCTAAACCCAGTTACAACTACCACCAGAACTGCCCCTAGAGGCAGCTTAGGGAAGAGACACAAACTGTTGGAGAGAGGGGGCCTTTGGGGAGACCTAGCCTGAAGACCCAGAATTTTGAATCGGGCCCCTGGCTAGGATGGAGCCTGGCACCTTCCAGAGGATTACACAAGAGTGTTTCAATAGCTCTCCCAACCCCAAGTGGGTAACTTTATTTTCCTACCTCGTATTTCATGCCACAAAAAAAAAAAAGTGACAGATGAGCAAAACCAAAGAAAACAGCTTTTTACTGGCCCCGTGTTCATGTAACAACCTCTGACAGGGACTTTAAATTATAAGATCCTCCAGGCCAACATTCTAAAGCCATAAATCAGATGGAAGGCGAGATGTGAACAGAGGTGGAGAAAGCTTCCCTGGGGACAGAGCAAATGATGGGCCTGACTTCACACCATCGGGGATCCTGAGACTGCAGGGATGTGGAGAGGAGCCAGCGGAGGAGAGGTGGGAACCCGTAGTCTGGGGGCTGTCGACAGATTTCTGGACGTCCTTGAAGGCTGTTCTGAGATGTTTGCAGCCCGCTTCCATAGAGGCTGCACGGAGTTCCATGGAGAGTAAAACCATACAAATGATGACGCGCGCTAATTTGGAAAAACTAGGGGGCTAGCAGTGGAATTTGAGAAAAGGCTAAACGCAGGGTTTATTACTTTATTACTTTTTTCTTTGTTTGCTTGCTTGCTTATTACTTTATGATGATCTCTGCAAGTCCAAGTGCTTCTCTAAGAAAGAGGCAGGAAAGGTTTATAATCATAGTACTAACCGTTTGCAAAGAAAACATGGCGAGTTTGTCTTCCAACAGAGAGAAAATCTCCCCTAAAATCCTCTTTATACTAATAATAGTCAAAGCAAATATTCACTGAGAAGCATGTGCCAGGCGGTAGAATAAGGACTTCACTTGCCTAATCTCTTTGTCCCTGTGAAGTAGGTACTGCTATTATGCCCATTTTATTTTTTTAAAAATATGTATTTATTTATTTATTTAGCTGTGTTGGGGTCTTAGTTGTGGCGCATGGGCTGTGATGCATGGGCTTAGTTGCCCTGTGGCATCTTAGTTCCTCGATCTAACCCATGTCCACTACATTGGAAGATGGATTCTCAACCACTGGAACACCAAAGTCCCTTTGCCACTTTATAGACCAGGAGACATTCACAAATTTTCCCAAGTTTACTCAGCCAGGCAAGAGGAGAGCGGGAGCTTGGGTCAAGGGCTCTGACAATCAAGCCTGTCTTGCTGAACTCTAGACAGAGGATTGTTGCCTCTAATCATTTGCTTTTAGGGGAAAGTACATTTATTTTTATGGTGTGAAGATTTTCCAGCCAGTCCATTTGCAGACTGCCATAAACCTACTGCATTCGAAAGTAAATGTGTAAAAACCCATACTTAACCTTTTGACACAGCACTGCTTCTTCTGAACCAACAATTTTTCTCCGCTAGAGCACACTCCGGACTTCATACCCTCATATTTTTCCCTCTTTACCTCTGAACCAGAACACCTAAAGCCAAATTTGTAACTCACTCACCACTGACAGACAGTAACATGAATAATAATAACTAACTGCTCTCAGAGTGTTTACTACGTGCCCAGGTCAGTACTGGGCACTTTTGTTAACTCAGACTCAACACGAGCCTCTATGACAAGCGATACTATTATCCTCGCTGAGCAGACTGGCTGTGTGATTTCCCCAGGATCAATAATGAGGAAGTGGCGGAGCCTGCATTCTAGCCCAAACAGTCTGTTCCCAGGCCACGGCCTTCATCTCTCTTAAATATCAGCTCTCACTGCCATAGGCTAATCTGATTTTTATTCTAACATATGTTTTTCTTTTACTTGGTATCACAGACAGTTACAAGATGGTACCAGCGGATTGCACCTCCCGTATTCATGCCATTGGTGCTGACTCTGTGCTGACTCTGATTTGCTTTGACCAGTGGAAAGGACAGGGGTGACAGTATACAGTTTCCAGACCTAGGCGTGAAGACTCCTTACAATTTCCACTTGCCCTTTCTTGCAGTCCACCCTGAGACCACTCCATAAGGAAGGCAGTCCATCCTCCTGGAGGATGAAAGGCCACATGGAAGAAAACCAAAGGGGTCCAACCCACAGCCAGCACCACCCACCAGGTGTGAGGGTGAGGTCATCCTGGACATCCCAGCCCAGGTGACCCTCCAGTTGGACAAGTCCAGGAGTAAGTGAAGCCACAATCCATCAAGGAACCACCACTAACACTGTAGAAAGAATAAATTATTTTTGCTGTAAGCCTTTACATTTCTGGGTGGCCTGTTACCCAGCACTAGATAACTGAAACACTTAGACTTGCTCAACTCTTTATCAAATTGTGTGTGTGCATGAGCTCAGTCGCTCAGCCATGTCTGACTCTTTGGGACCCCATGGACTGTGGCCCGCCAGGCTCCTCTGTCCACAGGACTCTCCAGGCAAGAATACTGGAGGGGGTTGCCATGCCTTCCTCCAGGGGATCTTCCTGACCCAAGGGTCAAACCTGAGTCTCTTGCATCTCTGCTATTGGCAGGCAGATTCTCTACCATTGTGCCACCTCAGAATCCCTTTACCAAATTATCCCATAAGTATTATATACCCCACAAGTATTGCAGCCCTCTTGGACCCTTCAATCAATCAATCAATCAATCAATTATTCTTTTAGTGCTTCTCCAGAGGTCATGCAAACACTGATCAGTACATAATGAGAGGTATAAGCTTATTCTGCATCTGAAGACCCAGAAGACAGCTCCACCCTTAGGGCCATTGCTACCCTCTGCCCTTCTCAGTCACTCCCAAACAAATCTTAAAATTGACAACTGTAAAGAAGTCACCTTCCAGAATGCAAGCCAGGGGACCTACTTCAAGGGTCTGACCACTGGTTCAGAAACGAAGCTCCTCAGAAGTCGACACTCACTGTTCTGAAACATTCAGTCTCTGCTCAGGGAAGTTCAGGGAAAGATGAGAAGATTAGAAGGTCTGGCCCGATAACTCTGAGAATGGGCTGGGAATCATCTGTAAACGCTGGGAAGACATAAACATCAGGGGAGAAGGAACAGGCAGGGCTTGTTCAGGGCGACTCGGGAATACCTAACCACACATTCTTGCACTCAGGCACACTCAGCCCTTCTAATCCCATTCCGAGACAGTGCCGACAACAAGTGAGAGCCGATTCACTCCCCACCTGGCAATGGGTCGTTCCACTCTCACTCACAAACCTCTGGCTGCCTGAGAGAAGAAACACAACAGAGAAGTAGCCCGTGGAAGGAATGAAAATGTGGTCCAACTCTTGCCACCGGCAAGCACACAGCCCTCCCCACCAATCACATAG